GTGTTCACCTCGTCTGTAGAATCTAGATGTGGATTCAATACTAACCCTCCCCAGTTTGTCCCTTCTTTAAGTCCCTGTAAGTTGTTTTGACCCATATTTTCATGTCTGTCTTGTGTTCGGATCTCCTCTCCCCTCCTCCTCTTCCTGCCACCTCTCTTCTTCTTCTCCTCTCCTATAGTTCATGTGCCCAGTCTGAAATATCTCTGGATGGTTTCTCTGAGTGCCCACCTCCCCCAGTGCCTGTAGTGCTGCGTGGAGCTCGGGAGCGGCTGACAGTGGAGCTGAGGGACCGCAAAGCACCACTGGCTGTCATGGAGAGTCTCTCGGACGCCGAATCCCTCTACAGCTTGGATTCTCGACGCTCTTCAGCTGCGCTAAGGGGTTCACCAATGCTGAGTAGCCTCCCGTTCCCTTTGGATGCTCCGATCCCAGAGGAGAACCCATCTCTAAGCTCTCGCACTGAGTTACTGGCCGCTGACTGCCTCTGCCAGGACACCCCAGAGCACCTGGGCGAGGTTGGGCCCTTCTTTACCCCACTGGAATCCAGATCCACCTCGGAATACCCCATGGGGCTGTCTCCAGCCACACCTCGCTACGGTGGACACCATTCTCCAGCTCTGGTAAACCAGAGTGCTTTGGCTCAACCTTTTAAGCCAGAGCTCAACGCCAACCCAACAATGCTTCCTGATGAAGATCACCAACAGATACCTGGTGTGTACAGTCCAGGGTCCACTCCCAACACTCCCCTCAGCCCTCAGATTGGTTCTAGACCAGTGGATGGAGAAATGGAAGATTGGGAGCTGGAGACAGCAAAGAAACAATTGCGTGCAGAGACCAGACCGGCAGCTTCTACTCCTGCAAACCAACTATCCAATGGAAACCCCAGCCAGGCAGTGCTGGAGTTCGCCCAGTACTTAGACTCTCTATTCAGACTGGATGGCAGCAGCTCACCACCTCTGGAGTTGTCCGATGGGGAGTCAGAGTCAGGCCGAGGCTCCTTTGGGCAGGGCGAGTGTCTCAAAGATGGACAGCAGTTGGACGACAAACAACTTCTGGCCAGAGCAACACTGGAGCCAAACCTAGTCCCCAAACCTCCACGCACTTTCGCAGGATCTGCTGATCCCTCTTCCGGCATCTCTTTGTCGCCCTCCTTCCCTCTCTCTTCATCTGAGGAGCTCAACGACCTTTCCCCTGGCGAGGGCGCCTTGCCAGCCATAGACTCGCTACGAACATCCCCCCCTTGCCACTGCTCTGAAGAGAACACACTGTCATCTATGGTGTAGTGGGCTGTGCAGTCATTCAAATTTGAAAACATATCACAGTACATGCATGCAAAAGAATGCAGTCACTTATCAGAGATTCAATGACAGAACTTGACTTTATCAACCCACAAACTATTTCCATTCTTCAGGTGACCCCCCCCCCCTTTGAAGGCTGTTTATAGCATTTTCACACTATTGCAATGACTAAGAAAAAAAGATACCTCTCTCTGCATGCCAGGGGGCTGTGCTGCTTTTGGGTGAATATAAATAACTGTAGCTTCACCATGCCATTCCAAAACAATGCTGTCTCACCCAAGTAGGGACGTGTCAGCATTACACCAATTCCCTGACTTAAGAAAATCAAAGGGAGAAAAAGTTACCTGAGCAGGGATTCAAAAATAAAACTAACACTGTAGAATAGGTTAGCATAGGCACATCATCTGGATTGATGTACTGTACAACTTCCTGCTCCCTCAGCAGCTACGGAAAATTTGTCCAGTTTTTATTTCATTTTGTTTTATTTTTTATTTTTTAATCAGGAATGTGAAAATGGACATTGTCAATAAATAGAGGTGAAGAGACATTATGAAATGTTCCTCAGGTCTGTAAAGAATTTTACAGTTTGAGAAAGCAAGTAAGTGTGTTACATTGGTGAGAATTCATGTGTCTTAAAAAAATGTAGTGATTGTGACAAAGTTATTACAGACGCCTATGGATGTTTTTGAGTCTTTTGGTTACTCTTTATAATGCATGACTTTTTTTTGGAGGAGAAATTGTCACTAAGCCACTTATTGACATTTGTGTATTCTTGCACACATCATATAGCTCAATTTACCCCCTTTGCCAAAAAAATGAATACATCATATTGCCAAATGTATTTATGAGATGTAATTTTGTATATGTATATGAATATTGCTTTATTTAAACACAAGCTAAGTAAATTATCTCCTCCCATTGCCACACTGTTGGTTCCCATGTAGACTGTTACACAGCAACACCACAGAAGAGATGTCATCCTGACCTGAAAACACTGCCATGGCTTTGATTTTGAAAACACGACGTCTGAACCAATAATGAACTTGCTAACACTCCTAGCCTCATAACTACTGTACCTTTATATCTTTGAGCTCTCTTAGCAATGTACCGATGTCAGGGTCTGCATGCTTTACGCATTTCAGAGTAGCATGGCTGGTATAAAATAAGTTTTGTCATTGAGTCACAGCAAATAAGCTCTAAACATGTCCACAAATACAAGTCAATCAAAGTTTTTGAGAGGCTTGTTTTTAAAGGCCCATGGTCAGCAGATGGGACCAAACTGTGTATCCTAAAACGTGTCCCAGGATTTCTCTTGTTCTCAAGGTGCTGTCTGTCATCTTGGATATAAAACTGTTTGCTTCCCTTTAATCTGGTTCATCTCAAACATCTTTGAGGTGAGACTGAATGAATAAACGGGCTCCAACGTTACATATGCCAATTCTAAACACTGTATGTGGTATACAATCTTCCATATCACTCTGGGTGTAAACAGGTGGTTCAAGGTTTGCATTATTTATTACTGTTAATGTTTTTATCACTTTTCTTGCTGTATTTGATGGTATTATTATCCTTATTGCGCTTTCAGCAGATTGGTTTGATGTCAGTGGTTTTTATCTCATTTTTGGGACAGTGAGGGGAACTTTTTTTAAGACTTTCCCAAATGTAAGGAGTAAATATATTTCAGCTTTTTTTCTGTCTGAGTGGAAAGATATGTGACATTCTGCCATGGCATGGTGACAATATGCTCTTTTTTTAATTTGTCTATTTTTTTTTACAAATCTTTCATAGTGGTGGTGTGACTTGCTGCCGAGTGACAGCCTCACAGTGACTCTTGGTGCAGTCGATCCTGGAGTCACCATACTGATCTGCACAGTCTCTATTTGGAGTATGATTTGCTGTGGTTACTCACAGCAGACCACTCCAACCAGTTTACAGTCCAACACTACACTAACCATCAAGCCGGTCCCAGTCGTCTCTCCATAGGTACACTCAGGCTGGGTTGGGTATTTCCTACCTTCAGTAGCTTTGCTTGAAGCCAGTCATATAACTCTAAACACTGATGAAAGAAAGCACTATAATACTTTCCACCATAATGTGTACAGCACCATCTTCTATGTGTAATTATTTATGCAGATGTCTAAGAAAATAACAATTCCAAGTCATGTAGAAAAGAACTATATAACAATAAGGAGATAATGACTATGTTAAAAGATACCAGTATTGATATATATGAGAAGAAATATTTCGTTTGAAAAAGTTATTTATTCAAATTATTGGCAGATTTACAAATTGGTCTATACTGAAAGAGAAATAAGTCAACTATGTCTCGTCCATGTTAACCTGGTTTGCTTCCCTTCCTTTCCTGCCCCACAACGAGAATGTATTTAACCCCTTCCCCTGCCTGTAATAAACTACAAACTATGGAAATAAATATGAAACTGTCACATTTCTTTCAGAATGGACTACTAATAAACTGTATAATATTCTAATCTTTTTGTAGTTCATTTCCCAGGTTTTACAGGTCACTGTT